TGGCATAAAATGGTCAAATGGGCGAGGCCTGTTTCAGAAGTGGGAACCAACCATTAGCTTCATCGCGGATCCCTGCTATCCAACAAACAAGTTGGACCCGCCGCAGCAAAGCCGTGGCTCCGAGGCAGGGATGAGATGAATTGACGAAGGAAGGCCACGTCAGCCAAACCAAAACACCAAGCCTTCTTGGTTTCCACTTCCCCCCCCAAAAAAAAAAAACCGGTAAGCCAATTTAGCCAAAGGGAAACACACCAGCTACCAAAAAAAAAAAAATATAAAAAAAAATGCACCAGCTACCAACCGGCGTAGTGCAGAAGGTACACCCCTGAACCCTTGAAAATTGAAATACACACCTGAGAGCAAAGTCCACTGGAAGAAGCTGAGCAACATACCACAATTCTGGTGATCCTCGCTCGAGTACTCATGGCATGCACAAAAGACAAAAAATATGGTGGTGTACCCGGGCACTTCTAGCAGAAGATTCATTCTCATTTTGCAGAAAATTTGCACATTTGGTGAGTAGTGGAGCAAGCCCCCATATCTCACAGTAGTCGCCCTTCCAGAGACATCCTCATCTTCACCCCACTACTCTCCACATGCAGAAAAGAAATAAGAGTGAATCCTCCGCGCAAACATGCCCAGATACACCTCCATATTTTTTGTCTTTTATGCATGTGGAGAGCCGTGGAACTGCCTTATGCATGTCGTTTCAAACACATTAATTGCACGTTAGGGTAAATCGGGGCGGCGGGTAAATTGGGGCAGCCCCCCACAAAATGCCGATACTGGGAGCTTTACCCAGCTTTGCTTTTTAAGGCACCAGCTTGACCCGAATAGGAACCCATAAACGAGAACCACCCAAAAAACACAGGAACAAAAGAACTGAACCAAAGAAAAGAACATTTTTCCTTCCTCCTACTTTCAGCCTAACACCCTACTATCCTACCGACTGTGGAACCTACCCCTACCCCTACCCCAAATCCAAGGGGTTCTACACGGCCCCCCCGAGTCTAATTCAACTCAGCATTTGTGCCCACTCATCTCTAGGTCCCAGCCATTCGCGTGGGCACCCACTCGGCCTCCTCTGGCTCCCACTCTCCCACCGAGAGAGCAGGTGGGTCCACCCCCTCCCTCCCCCCCTGACCCTCTACTGCTACCACCCGCACCTCAATCCTACGCTATCCATTACCCCTTCCGTATCCTGTACTACCCTTCCCCAACCCGATTCTGTGTACAACATCAACCTCTTCATGAATGCAGCCATGGGGTCAGGACCAACTTTCCCTCCAGCGTGACTGCAGCCAATTGGTTACCTCTCGCCCATGTGAACAGGAACCAGCTGCGGCCACGTACTGGCCTTCCCCTGTCCGCTTTTTGATGCTAGTCATCCCTGATCATTGTTTGCACTGCCGCCTTTATTTTGCATTTCATAGCAATGTCTGCCGCCCATTCTCCTCTGAATACAATCTGGTTCCGATCTTTCCAGATTGTCCGAATTATGGCTGATCTGACAGTTTGAGCCATGTATCCCCAACCTTTTCTACTGAGGAATAGCAGGGGGAGCTGTCCTCGGAGAACCCAGTCGCAGTCCTATTGCAAGGCTGGTCCTATTCCTTGCCAATGCCTCGCCCACGATTCCCACACGACCCGTCTGGATGCCGGACACTCCCACATCAAATGCCTTAATGCTTCCTCTTCCCTTCTCCCGCATTTGCAACATAGTCTTGAGATGGGCATGACTCTATCTGCCAGCCATACCGCCGTCGGGGTTGCCGGCTGCGATGTCAACCAGAGGAGGCTTGCATAATTTAAGCTTGGGAGGATCTGCCGCTGAGACCGCATGGTCCCTGCTGACGGTGCGCGATTCAGAGCCACCGCTCTCGCTGCTCTCTCACAGACTTCTTCTGTGAGGTCTCTTGGTGACTGGTTGAGTATCTCTCTGTCCAGTTTGGAGTTGTATTGTGCCAGGCTTTTCTGCAGACCATCCACCGTCCAGGTGAACCTTCCTGGGTCCAATCGCAGATGCGTAATCGGAACTCCGCCTTGGATCACTGTGAAACTGCTTTCTCCGTTACCACTTTGCATTTGGACCACCCTAATTGCCGTTAGATCCTGATCTGCTCTGATTACGATATCTTGTACTTGGCACAGTGTTCCCTTCCAATCCGATGGGTTTCTTAGTCTCCATTGGGTAGCCTCGCACTCATTGTTTTCCCTTTTCTTCTCCAGTCTGTATACCTCCAGTTCATCCCATCTGAGGCATCCTTTTTTATTCTAGCCAGTATACGCCATTTGTGGGCTTGCTCATCAACGTGGTCTTGGAGTTGAGACGTCGCCCTTTGCAGGGCCTCATATGTGAGCAGATCCAAGGGATTATCCCATTCTTCCAATTGCAGGAGGGGGTGATCAAGCACTGCTTTCCTGTCCCGGGCAATTTTAATAGAGAGTTTTTTAATTATTTCTCTTAGCTGCGCAACGCCTTCATTGAACCATTGTACTATCGACCCTTCCTGCATTTTTTGGTCCGACCAGCATGCCCAAAATTCATTAACGTGCTTGTTCAGGGTGGGCAGCTGCAGTAGGGAGGTGTTGAACTTGAAGTACCCAGGCCCACGTTCACGTGTGTGTGGAACGAGAGACCCAGTGCTATCACGGTGGGCGAAGGATTTGCACGGCGAAAAGGGGAGAATGTGAGCCATTGTGAGGAGGCCTACGAGGTCTTCTGACAACAGCCCCAGATCAATTCATGAGTTGGACAGTCCCGCCTGTCCCTTGGACCTTACGCACTTGTATGCCTTTTTGGCCGGGTGGAGGCGTCTAAAAGAATCCACCGAGTCCAAGTCCATCATCATGTGGGTGAGAATAATGTTGTCCGGTCCCCTCTCCATGAGGTGCTTCTGAGGGTCTTGTGACTGTGATGCTGTAGATCGTCTGTCTAGATCAGGGTCCAAGGTGGTATTGAAGAGCTTCGGCAGTCTTGCGTCGTCGCACCAGTGTCAAGCCAGCGTCAAGCCAGCCTCGAGCCAGCTTCAAGCCAGCGTCAAGCAGCACGTACAAGACTGAATGTCCAACCTCAGGGGCTGGGTCAACTTATAGCGTTGACGAGTGTTGACCCACATACGGAGGCCCAGATCGCCCGTCGGTCAATGGCCTGGATGTTGTGCAGTTGCAGTTATCGGCGCGTTCCCCTTTGGTCTTGATCTCGTCCAGATACATGCAAACAACCAGAGGTGTGTACCTGATCTGTGGCCGAGACTGGAAACAGTTTGACTTGACTCGTGTGCCTGAATTTCCGAGCTGAGATCGACTGTTGACTTACCAAAAAGTCAACCATACCACGCTGGGCCTCGGAAGGCCGATTTGGCCTAAACTTGGGTACCTCACAGCATAGGACCTTTGTTCAGGCATTTTCTGGACTCAGAGCGTGACTTTTGACCCCCGTTTCGGGCTGCTGACCAAAAGTGACGATCCTCAGCACTCGACGGGTACAGATTGAGCTGAGCTGAGTTATTACATAAGGGAACAGTAGCAGGTGCAGCCCTCCACCCATAGATCCGACTGCTTAATTGCTAGGAAGCCACTTGCCTCATAGGCTACCATATGACATTTGCCAGGTGGTCACCAATTATTCTTAAGGGAAAAACATTTATCGTATATATCGTCAAACAGAGCTGCCCGATAAACCATAGGCAGAGAGGGAGAAGAGGACAACAAACGAGGGGCTGTGACAAACTGTTTCGTCGGAGTTTCACAGACTCATCAGGAGGCTATACTATATAGTATATAGTATATAGTATATAGTGTGAGGATTGAGCCCTCAGAGGGGCCTAGCCGACATGCAGATGTTCTGGGCATAGGCCCCCAGCAAGCCTCGTGCCCGCCCTAAGTGAAGGCGGGCCAGATCTGTGACCGCCCTAAGTGAAGGCGGGCCAGMAAATCAACAAGAGCCCTCTGTGCAAACATTTCACGAAGTGGGGGTCCATACAGTTGCAGCACGCCAGTTGGTTGGAGTGCACCGAGTCTCGGACCTCTGCAAATGCGGAAATCCCAGGGCCTCTGAGTTGGTTAGGCCCTGGGCACATAAACCTGAGGTCGACAATGCATGCTGGATATAGAGGCCGAAAATGCCAATGGGAAACCGGCCCACTATCTGAATCTGGCCGCAGGCCTTGATGAAAGAGGCGCAACTGCATCTCCCGGGCCCCAACTGTATCGGGCCTGGGTTCAGGCACTGGGGCCCAGTCGCAGGCTGAAGGGAGGCCGCCCACACGCAACACTGGCATATAGGCAAGCAGGGCGAGTGGGCGGGGATCTTTTGCCAATGCGGGCATTGCCGGCACGCTGCACAAACGCGAGCTGCTGCGCTGCTGTGCTGCGCTAGGCGGAGGTGAGAGACAGGCATGCGCTAGGCGGTAGGGCGCTGCCTGTGGGCGCAAGGCACTGGCGGCCATAGCCGGGCTGCCTGTGTGCGCAGTGGAGGTGAAGGGCGAAGGTGGTTCTTCGGAGGTGAAGGGCGCTGTGTGGGTACAAGGGAGAGTGTGGGTGAAGAGGACACGTACCTGGTGGAGATGGAGGTCGGCATTGGTGTTGACATCATCACTCGCTGGTAGTCCAAGTTGTCTGGTTGCTTTTCATTGCTGTAGTTGTCGGATAGGCTGTAGAGTAGATAGGGCACCTGGCGCCATTCACAAGAGAGAGCTACATTTGGGTTATGCTGTTAGTGTTGCCCTGTTGGGCATGGACATTGACTCACCATTATTCTGTATCACTCTCAATTGGATGGTTACTCGGTTCCATGTGCTATCTGCTTTGGCTTTGACTACTTGGACTTCATTGTGATTTTGCATTCTGGATTTCTGTGCTTCTCCCATACTCATGTTCCTTGCAATAGTATATACTCATAGCTAGACCAAGTTTTCCGCAGGTGCAGCTCCCCACCCATAGATCCGAATCATCAGAACATATTTCTTTCAACGAAAAAAGGCAAAAAATCAACTCACCAACATATGGTGGTCGGCCCTTTCCAAGCATAGAGTACGCGGGCCCTGCAGATCTCGGCCTAATTTCGTAAGCGCCAGGACCAGGACTTCCTGCTCGGTCCCATGCTGCACAAAACCACTCGCAAAATTCCAAATTAGGGTTTCTTCTCCTTACTTTCCTGTTCTTGATTCTTGGTGATGTGCGAGCCAAGTTCAGAGAGTTTCGTCAGAGTGAATTTCATAATCAATGTCCAAGCGTCTGCAGGGGCAGCGGGGGTTAATTTTGGTTTGCATGGTGGCAATGATGAAGACCAGACAGACTGGGCTCTCTTTCTTTTTCACGGGGATTTTATTTTTGCGCGTCTGTGTGTGTTTTTGTGCTATTGGGGCGAGGTTCCATTATCAGCAGGATACGGCCTCACTCCGCTACTCTCCGCATGCACAAAAGACAAAAAAACATGGCGGTGTATCTTTCCGTGTTGTAGCGGAAGATTCATTCTGATTTTGCACATTTGGTGAGTAGTGGAGTGGGCCCATAAGCTGTAATTCAAGCTGTGGATCGCCTTGTGAGACCGCCAAGAACATTTTCTTTAATACAGTTGTACTAACTTGTAACTTGTAAGCTTTGCAGAAAGACAAGACAAATCTGCTTCTCCAGCGGGTCCGCAATCGGATGCTCATGAACCCCATAGCAGGTATTGACAGTTCAGATTTGACGTGAAAGGGAATTTCTCAAAACAAGAAAAGAGCAGAAAAGATTGCTCTGGCGTCTGGCAAACGCATGAGCTTTAGTTCTGGATTTTGGAAGAACGAATGCCGGCGGAAATCACGGAATAGCACCGAAACCTCTCGGAGATGGGGGTAAGGTTCAGCCTCAACGTCTCATAAGCTAGTGCATGTGGTTGCAAGCCTGAGTTGCACCCAGGAGGTGTTGGGTTCCAGGGCCACCTAGGTCAGTCTTTGGCCAGAACATCGTTGGTGTCACTAGAGGCGGTAGGCGGGTCGTGACACCCTGTTCCCCGAAAGCTGACTCACGAGCCTGGTCACGAAGTTCTCATGAACAAGCTTGGTGGGTTCGAGCCCTGCGCAGGTGACTGCCCATGGCCCCAACAATGTTGATTATATATTATACAGCAAAGGCAAGTTACACTGAAGGGCAATCTGAACATATGGGGGGGGGTTGACCAGCCTGAAGTGTTCGCTAGTTGAGAATACTCTCTCCAGTGGGAGACGGGACACACCTGTAGAACTCTGTGGTTGAATTCTACTCAGAAGTTTATATTCGAGGTCTACGGCCCAGTTACGATGCCCGATCAGGGTTACATGACCTCAGATTGCTGACGTGTATGGGATATGTGCCTTTGGCCCAGTGACTGGAGAATGCAAGGATAAAAAAAAATATACCACAAAAACACAGTTTAACACACTTAAAAAAAAAATGAAAGCAAGAATGAGATCTCAAACAGCTCCAAAATTTGCAACTCATACTTAAAAAAGAATGAAAGCGCGAATGGTACCTGTAACAACTCTGAAATTTGGACTCCGATAATTACTCTGAAAAAATGACTATGATTTGCCTTTGGAAGTTTTTATACATCTCAAGGCTGTCACCATTTTTCTTCTGTGTGCGTGTGTATGTGTGTGTGTTTAGTTACAGTCAGGAGACTCAGAACAATTTGATAGGAATATCTCATTGCACAGACTCGACCGGCTTAGAGTCATTTCGTTTCTCTCTTTTCAAAAAAAATTGTGTTCTTTTCACTTGCCAATGTAGACGTAGCCACTTAATTTTTCTTCATCATTCCTCCTCATGACCGTAGGATGCGTTGCCCCACACAAACTTTCAACAGCAGGACATCATAGCTGTCACTGCACCATCACCGAACAGAGTCGATTTACATTCTGTCCTGCTGCTACCGTCTTCACCCGATCAGAACGCCCGGTCCTGATGGCTGTATTTAGGGCAAGTTTCAGAGCATATGCAGCAATAATGACCGGGTGCTTCATTCCGGTGAAGACGGTAGTGGAGCCATGCCCATGGGAATCTGATGTGGACTGTTGCTGATGTTATGTGTTTCTTTTGTCTTTTTGTGTGTGGCCGTGTCTCCGGGAGGCTGGGGGCATCTCTTGACTGCTGCTGACGTTGTTTGTTGTCACCAGACGTCATCCTCAATTCCATCCATATCCATTTAGGGAGCCTAGTGCCCACACACACATCTAGCCTTGAGGTTTGAGGGTGCAATTGCTCCTATCATCCTATGTGAAAAAGGGGTATGGAAAGAAACAGTGTGCTCACCAAACTGCAGTGTCCTGCACTCAATTCAACCAAAGCCAATCTTACATCAGTACATTTTCATCAAACAGAATCACATCGACAAATAGCTTACCATGAACAAAAGGACTGATTGTCCTACAGTGCTGACGGATAAACACACACCGTTCCTCCATCGGCCAAAAAGCGGCACACGTGGACGGAAGGTCCATACAACAATAGGGGCTTCACAGGCAAAAACACCCCACCACTTTTATGTGTGTTTTCAGACGGTTGGTGGGATCCATTACCTGTTTCCTACTTTTTTTAAGTTCTTTTGTAAAAAGGACCTTACACCTTGTCCTTCGGGATCTGTTGTGGATGCTGACGTTGCATTTGCTCCGAAGTTCTCCTCCAGTTTCTGACCTTTCCCCCCCCCCTTTCAGCTACTGAACGGAATGTTGTTTGCTGAGGCAAGAGGTCCCACTTGTACAGATTAAGAAATATATATATATATATATATCGTCACAATATATATTATATATATAGTGGCCATTGATCTTCAATTTCATGTAAGGACAGTATCTCTTAAACCATGCAAGCGGGACTTCACCCCTGATTTCTTTGCAACAAAGCCTGGAGTTTTGCTGAACAGTATTCAGCCATTCTCGGAACTTGCCCCGTCCTCACATTCACTGGTGTTTGTATGGGGCATGCTTTTCTTTTTTTGTTACTGAGAAACTGCAAGAACAGCGCATTCCTACCCTTCTGGGAAAGCGAGGGCCTCCGAGCTGACAGTGGCCACAAGGTGAGTGGCGGGGTAGTAGACCCTTCTGCTGTGCCTCATAGGGTAGTACAATGGACTTGGCCTTTTAGAAACTGCAAGAACATTGCATTCCTGCCCTCCCGGGGAGCGAGGACCTCCGAGCTGATAGTGGCCACAAGGTGAGCGGCGGGTTAGTAGACCCTTCTGCTTTGCCTCGCAGGGTAATTCAATGAACCTGGCCGTTTTGAGAAGTTGCTTCTGTGTGAACCACCTGTTCTCAGTGTGTGGTTGGAAAAGGCACATCATCAGATACTCGCAGCTGGGGCCCGTGCCCCAGTTGGCCTCAATTTATTGCACTTCATATCCCTTCCCAAGGATAGATGGACCAAATTGAGGCGGCCTGTCTGGAAATGCATCAGAAGGTGCGAAAGGCAACAACTTTGATGCATGAAAGACAAGGCAGGTTCTAAGATGAGGTGGAACATCCAAGATGTATGATGGACCAAAGGGATCAGCTCCCACTGCACCTAGAACCTGCCATGGACCATAGTACAAGGGTAACAACTTTTGAGAGTTATCCACTTCGTCAGAGAAATCAGATCTCTTGACCCAAACCCAATGACCTGTTCGAATGGGGGAAGGCAAACGATGTTTGTTAGCTTGTTTAATCATTCTCAGTCCGTGCCTTCTCAGAATCTTGCTCGTAAGGTTTGACAAATTTTGTAGTGCCAGGAGTCAGTTTGGGCTCAGCCTTGTCAATGATACCATCAAGGGGCTGTCTAGGGTCTCTACCCCAATAGAGCTGGTAGGGCGTGAATCCAGTGGCAGAGTGGATAAAAGTGTTATACATTAGTTGATCCGTGGGCACTTGTTTGTCCCAACCCTGTTCATCAGGTGTGATGACAGGTCTCAGCCTGTCCATCGGCCTAGGGATGTCGGCCAGAAGTCATGTCTAATCTAGAGTGGAGATAGTACTTGCAATATAACTGCCACTCATCACTGCAGCATCGAGGGTCTTTGTCACTGACAATGGAGGTTGGGTGTCCATGGGCGCTCACCCACTTCTCGGAGAAGACCTCTCTAATCAGAGCAACTCTCGCCTCAGCCGGCAAATGAATGAACTCAACATACTTACAGAATCAGTCAACACAAACGATGACCTATCTCATCCTAGGAGGGGTGGTCTTGTCTAGGTCAATAAAGTCGATTGGTACTAACTCGCTAGGAGCATCTGGGATAGGCAATGGTTTGAGAAGTCCCATAGGAGGTCACTTGTGTACCCTGTTCCTTTGGCACATCTCACAAGTGTCCAAGTATTTTAGAACACCTTTCCTTAATTCCGACCAGTAGAACCGTTGGACCAGGGCCGCGTAAGCCTTCATGAACCCAAAGTGGCCTCAAGCACCATAACTCTTAGCAATGAGATGAGTCTTGATCTTGTTGTCATCAGGTATGCACAAACGTTCCTCTCCCTCACTGATGGAGTACAACAAGCTTGAAGTCAGGGCATACTCTGACTCAAAGTTGCGGTCTGTTTGCAGATTCCCGAGAATGGGGCCGAAGGCACGTTCTTGAGGCACCTGCGATGGCCTCCCTCATGAAATCTTTGAAGGAGTAAGAATGCAGAGTAGCTGCAAATGTGTCAAGCATATAAAAATTTTAATCTGCAACCCTATTTTAGCACCCCTTCTTGTGCTTTAGTTCAAAGTCAAATGCAACTATGAGCTGAATGTACCTTCCCGATTTATCATTTAACGGGGCTTCATCAACTCCAAGGTCGATGATCATAATAGAATATTGAAGTGTCTCCCTGGTAAGAAGTGCTTCTATTGCTTCAGGGCACACACAAGGGCATGGAGTTTTTTCTCATAAGTAGAGGTCTATATTCTTTGTAGTATGTACCTTAATCTTCTTACTCATGAACTGCACTGGACTTAGGCCACTCTCATCATCTTGCTGGAGAACAACCCCAATCCCATACCGACTTGCATATGTGGTCAACACAAATGGCAAGGTAGGGTCAGACAATCTCAACACCGGTGCCTAAGTAAGGGCTCTCTTCAATCATGAGAAAGCCAATTGGCACCGAGGAGTCCATTTGAAGGGGAC